AAAAAAAAAAAAAAAAAAAAAAAAAAGAGTTCGAGACCAGCCTGGCCAACATAGTGAAACACCGTCCTCACTATAAATACAAAAAAATTAGCCGAGCGTGGTGTTGGGCATCGGTAGCCCCAGCTACTCAGGAGGCTGAGGCAGGAGAATGGCATGAACTCAGGAGGTGGAGGTTGCAGCGAGCCGAAATCGCGCCATTGCACTCCAGCCTGGGCGACAAGAGTTAAATTCCATCTCAAAAAAAAAAAAAAAGAGAGAAAAACAGCCTTCTGACACAGCCACCATTTCTACCTACAGTTTGGCCCTTGCCTGAAGAGTGAGACGAAAGGAGCATTCCTTCCCTCTTTCAGCAAAGGAAGAAATTAATCTATCATGTCTTCATACAGCCACATCAATTTAATAACAGAAATCACAATCTAATGTAATAACTAGGAAAAAATAAAAAGGAAGCATTTAAGTGAAGTCTGGAGAGGACTTAAAACATCTGGAACAAAATGTAGGGCAACTGAATAACAGAAAAGAACAGGTATTAGGCTGGGCGCAGGGGCTCACGCCTGTAATCCCCATACTTTAGGAGGCCAAGGTGGGCGGATCACGAGGTCTGGAGATCGAAACCATCCTGACTAACACAGTGAAACCCTGTCTCTACTAAAAAATACAAAAAATAAGGAGGGCATGGTGGCAGACACCTGTAGTCCCAGCTCCTTGGGAGGCTGAAGCAGGAGAATGGTGTGAACACAGGGGGCGGAGCTTGCAGTGAGCCAAGATCTCACCACAGTACTCCAGCCCAGGCAACACAGCGAGACTCTGTCTCAAAAAACTAACAACAATAAAAAGAAAAGAACAGGTATTCATGTAACACCTAATTCTAAAGCTAATTCAGAATTCAGAAATCAGAGACCCTTACAAATCAAGAGTGGTCATTTAAAAACCAGACAAGAAAGAAGCACGGCACATCAAATATAAACCACAACTAATTAAACTAAAAGAAAGTATATTTAAAAAAAAAAAAAAAAGCATATCCAAAGTAAGGAAAGACATCCCTGATTCTGAAGCTGCCTTAAAGAAAGACAGTCACGTCCAGAGCCCCTGACTTTGGTTACTTTCCTAGAGCAATTCAAAGTTAGAAGAAAATTAAGCCACCATCTGATCTTTAGTTTGAAATGACAACATAAGCTGGAGAGAGGATGTGGAACTGCAGAGGTTCTCAAAGAGGTATACGAATACTTCATCAGAGAGGACCTGAAGGAAGACATCTAATAAGTAAATCTTAGTTGACAAACTTGGAGAAACATTATTTATAAACACCAATTTAAAAGGAAGATCTCAAACTTAATAGTTAAAAACAAAGATAACCCAGAACAAGCAAGCCTAAAAAACTAATCAAAATTTGGCCGGGTGCAGTGGCTCACACCTGTAATCCCAACACTTTGGGAGGCCGAGGGCGGGTGGATCACAAGGTCAGGAGTTCGAGGCCAGCCTGATCAACATGGTGAAACCCCATCTCTACCAAAAATACAAACATTAGCCGGGCATGGTGGCACAAGCCTGTAGTCCCAGCTACTCGGGAGGCTGAGGCAGGAGAATCACTTCAACTTGGGAGGCGGAGGAGGCTGCAGTGAGCCGAGATCACACCACTGCACTCCAGTCTGGGTGACAGAGCAAGACTCTGTCTCAAAAAAAAAAAAAAATCAAAATTTTAAGTGTATCCTAGAAAAACTTTACAGCTTTTCTTTGAACCATCTAGGTCCTTTTAAAAGCTGATGCCTTGCCATGCTTAAATATGCGGGTTCCACTGACTTACATCCTAACAGGAGAAAACTGCGCAAGTAGCAAACTGGCTGAGTTCAAAGATGCTGTTCTCCCACATCTTCATTTTACAGCACCTAACAGTTTCTGGAAGACAGCACGCAGAATAATTGACAGGATTTGTAATGCTTCAGTATTACCAGAAAAAAAAACTGTGCACACATACTTCCAGCATATGAACAATTTTAACTCACCAGTCACCATGTTGCATGTATTTCTGCTGCTTGTCCTGAGTTCTTAAGACTTCTAATATTCTGAAGAAGATAGAACAAAAAAGTTCCTTCCATCCTCAGCCTCTTTTTATTAATAATTTTAACTTTGTTCTTAAAAAAAATACAGTACATTAGAAAGAACTACCCCACCATTATCAAATCTGATGGCTAATTTTACTTCCTGTTAGCTTCCTTTTCCTTAAGCTTAATGGAACAAGACTGTAAATCATAAACTAGCAGATATTTTGTGTTAGAAAACAGAGGTGCGTATTTCTCTAGGACAAACCTAGAACTTCCTTGACACTAAAACACAGTGGCAGGGTCAAAAAAAGAACTGAAAAGGACTGAAATCCTACATCAAAAGTGACTTTTACAGTCATACACTGTCAGATTTTAGTAATTTCTGTTGGAGATTTCTGCAATTTCAAAAAAGGCAAAGCACTGATTCTCAGGTTGTTCAATTTTGTTTTAAGGTCAACTTTTTGGCTGAGGCAAAGGTGGGCCCTTAGTATAACAGACTAAAGTAAGCCCCTCCCACCTACGCAAAAGAAAAGCCTGTGTTTAAGGATTTAAACTGGCATTTTAGAGCTCGGAGTTCACATGGTCCACATAAGCGAATTCCCTTCCGGAGCGCACAGTGGTGACGTGTATGAATTGCGCTTATGGACGTATTAATTTCTAATGAAAGATAAGCAGCTACCACTCAAGGGCCTTCTAATATTAACCTTCCCTGCCCGGCACAAAGCCCAGTACAAGGTGAGGAAATCCGAAGGGGCTCACTGCCCTCTCAAGCCAACAGGGCTTGGTTTCCGAAGCAGAAGCACCCTACCCAAGCACCCACACCGTACTTGGGCCTCAAGTAACGGCATTCTTTGAGGAGAACGGGCAATCTCGCCCCGCTCACAGAGGAGTGGAGCCGCAAGCCAGACAGCAAAGCTGGTTGGTTTCTTTCCAGGCCGAGGCCACGGATGCCCGGGAACGTCACCAGACCAGAAAGGACCCAATCCTCAACCTTCCCCGCACAACGAGCCTCGGCCGGCCCTCTGCTCAGCAGAAGCCTCCTGCGCGCTCTCGAGGCGGCACCGCCACCCAACATCAGAGCGCGCGCCCCAAAACTGGGGGGGTTGTGAAGGGCGCGCGCCACGGAAAGCCGCTCTTGCCCACGGGCCACAGCTCCTAGAGGAAAGATATCTGGGCCGGGAACGCGCAC